AGATAGATAGATAGATAGATAGATAGATAGATAGATAGATAGATAGAATTCTTTATTGGCCAAGTGTGATTGGACACACAAGGAATTTGTCAAGAATCATAAGGTACAACACTTAATGATAGTCATAGGGTACAATAAGCCATCAAATCATACTAGGAAACAATCAATATAAATCGTAAGGATACAAGTGACAAAGTTACAGTCATACAGTCACAAGTGGGAGGGCATGGGTGGTAAAGAATGATGAGAAGATTAATAGTAATAGTAGTGCAGACTTTGTAAATAGTTGAACAGTGTTGAGGGAATTATTTGTTTAGCAGAGTGATGGCTTTCAGGAAAAAAACTGTCCTTGTGTCTAGCTGTTCTGGTATGCAGTGCTCTATAGCATCATTTTGAGGGAAGGAGTTGAAACAGTTTATGTCCAGGATGTGAGGGGTCTGTAAATATTTTCACAGCCCTCTTTTTGACTTGTGCACGTCTTTGATTGAAGGCAGGTTGGTAGTAATTGTTTTTTCTGCAGTCCTAATTATCCTCTGAAGTCTGTGTCTGTCCTGTTGGGTTACAGAACCAAACCAAACAGTTAAAGAGGTGCAGATGATAGACTCAATAATTCCTCTGTAGAACTGTATCAGCAGCTCCTTTGGCAGTTTGAGCTTTCTGAGTTGGCACAAAAAGAACATTCTTCGTTGTGCTTTTTTGATGATGTTTTTGATGTTAGGTATCCATTTTAGGTCATGTGATAGAATAGAACCTAGAAATTTGAAGGTTTCTGGAGTTGATACTGTGTCGTCTAGTATTGTAAGAGGTGGTAGGATGGGAGGGTTTCTTCTAAAGTCTACCACCATTTCTACGGTTTTGAGTGTGCTCAGTTCCAGATTGTTCTGGTTACATTACGAGGCAAGTTGTACAACTTCCTGTCTGTATGTGGATTCATCATTGTCTGGAATGAGACCAATCACTGTTGTGTCATCTGTAAACTTCAGTATTTTAACAGATGGATCGTTTGAGATGCAGGCATTGGTATATAAGGAGAAGAAAAGTGGAGAAAGCACACAGCCCCTGTGCTGATTGTACAGGTATTGGATGTGATTCTGCCTAGCTTCACCTGCTGCTTCCTGTCTGTTAGAAAGCTTATAATCCACTTACAAGTGTGTTCAGGAACCACTAGTTGGTTTAATTTAGTTAGAAGAATGTCTGGAATGATGGTATTGAATGCTGAACTGAAGTCTACAAAGATGACCCTTGCATAGGTATTTCGAGATTCAAGGTGTTGTAGGATGTAATGCAGAACCATATTAACAGCATCATCTGTCGATCTATTTGCTAGGTATGCAAACTGCATGGGATCTAACAGTGGATCCTTGCACTAGCCTTTCAAAGATTTTCATAACTACAGATGTTAGAGCAACTGGTCTGTAGTCATTCAGTTCCTTGATGGAGGGCTTCTTTGGATGATAGTAGAGCATTTGAAGCAAGAAGGAACATAGCACATCTCTGGTGATCTATTGATGATTCAGGTGAAGATGGGAGCCAATTGGTCAGCACAGACTTTTAAGCAAGAAGGTGTTATCTTGTCTGGCCCTGGTGCTTTTCCTGGCTTTTGTCTGTGAAGTAGATCTTGCACTTCTTTTTCTGTGATCACCAGAGGTTGTGAAAAAAGCTTTAAATGAGTATATCTTACAAATAGATACATCATTGCAGTTTGGAATGAAATTATATGACATAACAATCTTTATTTCTGTCAAAGACCAGCATAAAATGAGAGAAATCTACAGCAATAAAAGTAAAATTATAATGCTGCCATAAGTTATTTCAATGATATAATACAGTCCATAAATATAATGCTGTAAAAGTTGTTGAAGTATATGTCTAGAATGAATTAGAAATTCAATATCAGTTTAACTGTACTGTAAAAGAAGTAGTAGAAGAAGAAATATTGTTATAACTGCAGGCCAGACAGATAAAGATACTTAATGATCTGAACAGTAATGTAAAATTGGTGAATCGTTTATTAAAAGAATATAGTCACATTCATCTCTAATTTCCTTTGTTTGTGAGCCTAGTTCTTACTGGAGTGCTAAGTCCTTAGTTCACTTATTGCCACTTTGGTTTCTTCACAGCTCAAGGAAGATAGCAATTTTGGAGAAATACTAAAGAGAGTAAAACTTCAGAAGTGTGATCTGCTTCTACCTAGACTAAACATTACTAGAAAACCCATATGACATGGGCCTGTTGGGAAGAATATTACAGGTAGTCTTCAAGTTACAACCATTGGTTTAGTGACCATTCAAAGTTACAACAGCACTGAGAAAATTGATTTATGACTTTTTTTACCTTTATGATTGTTGCAGCATCCTCACTGTGATCAAAACATGATCAAAAATCAGATGCTTGGTAACTGGCTCATATTTATGACCGTTGCTGTATCCCAAGATCATGTGATCACCTTTTGCAACCTTCTGACAAGCAAAGTCAATGGGGAAGCCGGATTCCCTTAATAAACGTATTATTAATTTTACAACTGCAGTAATTAATTTAAGGACTGTGATAGGAAAGGTTGTAAAATGGGGCAAAACCCACTTAGCAACTGTCTTGCTTAGCAATGGAAATTTTGGGTTCAATTGTGGTCATAAGGTATTCTTCAAGCAATAGATGGCAAGTATTAGCCAACATCTTGTAAGTAGGTAGATTGTAAGTGATGGTTTTATTGACTGAGGAATACGAAAGAAATAATGATATGTAAGCCCTGATTAATATTAGTCTAATTGCCATATGACTTTGATATGTTAAACCCATGTTGTGAGTACTTATGGCTTGTTATAAAATTCCAATTTATAGAAGACAAATTGTTCAGGTGGCTTTCTATGATCCACTTTATTCCTCCCTTACCCCATTTCTCATCACCTCAGTTCACATTTACTTTTTTTCTAGGATTGATCCAGTCAATTGAAGGTGGTTCAATAACCAGATGAAAGTTTATTGGAATCTGAAGTGACTTCTTATATACACAACTATTTACTTTAGACAGCTAGGCCATGTGCTAAATTATTATGGCACTTGCATGCTTGCAAAAGAGTCAGCTGGTTGCACATGCATGAATCAATTGTCACGCAGCTTATATGATTCCAGTTGTTCACAGTTTCTCAACATCAGCATAAGCTGAACTCCTGATAATTTTTTTTCTCCCACAGGCTGCAGGATTAAATTAGAGCCATAAATCATATTAAGAAGTTCTTATAACATAACAATGTTGAACATTCAGTCATGCTTTTAGCTGTAGTAGCTAAGTATGTTCATTCTATAGAATACCTGGAAGCACAGAAGACTGCATTGGTGATAAAACAAATATGAGACAGTAAATCCATGATCGGGTGAAAATATATGGTAAATACATTTTTCAAAAAATAGGGAAAATATATTTTTCCATATAACAGAGGGTCCAGATCCTTACTGCTTAAATGAACCATGCTGATTATTCTGTATCAACTAAGTTAATAAGTTTATTGTTTAAATACAGAAACAAATTAATGAAATTATATTTATCTAGGGAAATATATGAAATTATATTTCCCTAGATAAAATAATAGAAACCGGGCTATTAATGACTGTTTCTAGAAAATAAAGCAGCACTCCCTAAAGACCTGTTATTAAAGATCATTACTAGCCAAGGTGGCGCATTAGTTAGAGTGCAGTACTGCAGGCTACTTCTGCTGACTTCCAGCTGCCTGCAATTTGGCAGTTCAAATCTCAGTAGGCTCAAGGTTGAGTCAGGCTTCCAGCCTTCTGAGGTGGGTAAAATGAAGACCCAGATTGTTAGGGCAATATGCTGACTCTGTAAACCGCTTAGAGATGACTGTAAAGTGGTATATAAGTCTATGTGCTATTGCTATACATAGTCAGTGATCACTCTCTTATCTCACTTCCCATGGGCACCTGAATGGTTCCTAAAAGTAGTTTCTGTCCGCAAGGAAGAAAGACAACCACAGGATATGACATACGTGGAACAGATTCTCCAGAATGATTTTTAATTGATTATGAACTTATGCAGCGGTGTTATTCAGCAGGTTCTGACCAGTTCTGGAGAACTGGTAGTGGAAATTTTGAGTAGTTCGAAGAACTGGCAAATACCACCTCTGATTGGCCCACCCCCATCTATTCTTTGTCTCCTGAGTCCCAGCTGATCAGCTGGGGCTTCTTTTGTTGCCCTGCACAGGAGAACGGAGCTGGAAAGCAGGTTAGTGGGGTGGGGTGGGAATGGGATGTTGCAGTAACCTTCCCCTGCCACACCCGCCAAGCCATGCCCACCAAGCCACACCATGCCCACCAAGCCACGCCCACAGAACCGGTAGTAAAATGTTTTGAATCCCACCACTGATCTTATGCATGTATTTATTTTCTTCCCTTCCATTCGATCATATTTAATTCTCAGGGACTGACGGGACAAGTCCCTACAGGGTGGTTGGATTTTTGGAAAGGTTTTTCAGAAGTAGTTTGTCATTGCTTTCTTCCTAGGGTTGAGAGAATGTTACTGGGCCAAGGTCACCCAGCTAGTTTTGTGTCTAAGACAAAACTAGAATTAATGGTCTCCTGGTTTTAAGGCTGATGCTTTAAACATTATTCCAAACTGGCTGTCATACATTTAATATACAATAGGAATTATACAGGCTGGAAGCTGAACAATAGATTGTCTTCTAGGTCCAGTTTTCCATCATTGATTCATGGCAGGGTTATTCTGTTCTGGAGGTGTGGAACAACAATTTTTCAATGATGTCTGGCTCTAACCACCTTTCAGATTTTTCCATGACCCAGAATGATGGATGTTAGACTGGAGGGGAAAATTGATATGATGGTTAGATGATCATATTAATCACTGTGCTGTTCAGCCTGCCAAAGCAGGATATTTTTTTAAATAATAGAGCAAAGAAATATATAATAATGGGTTTTGCAGAAGAGGCAGATCAGGCTTTACTCTGTCTATTGTCTTAATATCTTGAGTGATGAGGCCAGTTCTGGGGATGCTGTGATTTAGCTCATAAAACACTGTTGTGATTTAAGATACTGGACTAGGACTTGGGGGCAACCACACTACTATTCCAGTTTCAGTTCTGTATAAGTCATTTTGAGTTACTGGGAGAATAGTGGGATAGAAATCTAACAAACCGATAATACACTCGGCTACCAATTATCCCATTTTGGGATGTAGACAATACATTGAATCATAAACTAAGCTAGAGAATAGGATTCTCACAACTCACTCAGCCAGCAAAAAAAGAAAAAGAAAAGAAAACCTGAAGTAGAATAAAACCAATGAAGATTAGCATGTTGTGTGAATGCAACTGTGAGTTTTTAAAGATAACTTGAGAGAGCATGTTGTATCTATGTAGCCTGAGTTTCATTTATGCACCAGCTATTTTGAATTCAACTGAATTATTAGGCTCCTAGCTATAAAAAGCTACAGCTGCCTATACATTTTTCTTTCTTCAACTTTCTTTTCCTTTTATAGCATTCTTTAAACTTTTAATATATTAATTAAATTTATTAGTTGCTTTATAGCAGCAGTGGGTAAGCTATAATGCTACATATTTTGATGGTTCTCTGTAGTGATTGCAAACTGTTGTTGAATTTTGATGGCAAAACACTGAAAATTGTGGCCTGTTTTCCATATACCGTACAGTATTTGGCTGAAAGATATTAGGATTTGTTAAGCTTCAAGTAGGCTTAATGCACATATAAAAGCATCCCTAATCCCCTAAAAAGGCAAAAAACAAAACAAAAACCAGTTCCTTCTTGGCAACCTGGTGATGGTGATTGGGCAGATGAAGTGTAGCTGTTAGGTATAACATTGATACCAAATATGGTTTGGGTGAATAAATATATAAAACTTAGATATCATGGTTTAAGTGCTTATCACTTTAAGCACAATGCAGCAGGCAATTAGCCGATTAAGGGTGCGGTTAGAAGTTACAATATAAGGAAGCATTAGAAGCTGGAAAGCTGACTGTAACTGTGTGCTGGCTGTAACTGTGTGCTGCTGCGACTTACTGTGTGTTACTGTAACTGTGTGCTGCTGCGACTAACTGTGATTACTGACTGTGAGTGCCTGTGACTGAACTGTTATTGTTTGCTACTGTTTGCTGATTTACTGCGTAATTCTACTGAATATCCAGCGTTTGTTTCTCTGGAGAGTGAAACCGGAGGAGGAGAAGATATCTTTATCGGCTGATAAAGATATTGCAAGGACTCTTAACTTGGACTATACTAGTGAGTCTTACTAGATGGAAATACTGTGAATGACTTAATGGACTGAATGACAATGCTTAAAATCTAACTGGATTAAAAACTATTTAAACTACAAACAGTGTTTGTGTTCAGTGTGTGTATACTCTGGGGCCCTTCCGCTCTCGTTTGGCTGCCTGGCTTGACTACTGCTGCAATACTCTTCTAGGGGTTAATTCCCAAACCCTAACAGTAGCCCTTGGCTGCAAATAAGATTACTATTGCTTCACAGAGAACAATTCTCAAAGTGACCTTTATTATCACATATACAACCAAATCAAAGACAATATGTATTATAAGAAGGCAAAACGTAGGGCTTGAAAAATGGAAAAGTTCTCTGAGAACATTTTTGATTCACCTGGGGAAAGGAGAAATGCTTTTAATTGCATTAAGATTACATGTTTTGACTGAAAGTATAGTGAGATGACAAAATGAAGTTCTGGCTCTTTTCTGATTTTCACATGGTTGTACGAATGAAGAAGTAGATCTTTATTTATTGCCAATTTTATTTTACACCTTTATTGCATTTTAAATAAACAAAACCACAGCTGTTCCCATGGGAAACAGTCAGCTCTATGGAAGAAAGGAAAATGCAATATATTAAGGAGTATTTGGCAGTACAAAGCATAAAGGATTTAATCCTATTAGCTCAGAATAAGGTTCACTGAAATTTTTATTTAATTTATATCTTTAACATTTCTATGAAAACTCAAGGCGATGAACATACACAATATTCCTTCTTCCTCTTATTTTCCCCACAACAAATCCCTGTGAGATGTCTTGGGCCAAAGAGTTAACCAGCTGGTTTTCATGCCTAAGGCAGAATTAGAACTCATAGTCTCCTAGTTTCTAACCAGATGTTTTAGTCATTAGACCAAACTGACTTATTCCTAGGATTATCTAGAATTTTCTTGTGCGATTATAAAAAAGTGGAAGACAAATCATTCTTTTAGTGTCACATGGAATCTGACCAGTTTTCTGGGTCGATGTTACTATGTGTTTTATGACCCAAAATGCACAGGACTTAGATTGCAACTTCACAAAAGTAACACTATTCTTGTCTTCATCCCATGCCTTTACTCTATTTTCCAAGATGGCCATAGTTCTCATTTCCTAGAGTTTGGAGGGACTTTCCAGTCCAACTCACAGTCCAGTGCAGAAATCCTCAGATCATTCTGGACAAAAGGTGATCTAATTTTTTTCTTGAAAACTTCCAGTAATTGCACACGTACAGTTTAGGAGGCAGGCTGTTCCTAAAAGCTTCAGAACAATGTGCCTATTGACATCACAAAGTTATAGCTCTTAAGACTTTTAAGCAACATTCAACACTTAAAATGTTTTAGCTACTTTCTCTTCTAAATATTTTCTAATATTCTGCAGTTGTATCTTTAACAACCATAGAGGTGGAACTAAGCAGGAAGAATATTATATTTTAAAAACTACAATAAATTTTCCACTCATCGTCCTCATTGTTAAATTGAGAATTTAATGCTTTTGATAATATAATAATGCACATTAAAAATAATGCAGATATTTATGGCCACGACATTGTTTCAAATACCTACTTATGCTGCATGACTAACACAAAGCCCAACAATTTATAAATTTCTTGGGAACTTAAGCCTTCTTCATGTTAAGATAAATAAGGACGTGTACAAACATAGTAAGAATTTAAACCAATAAGTTGAAGGTATGAAGCTGAAGTGGCCTTGACTTGAATGACAGTATGCTTCTATGGACCAAGAAGCATAGATTACAAAGTT